AAAGCACTTCATGACATTTAACTGATTCACCCTTGCAGGTCAACAAGAAGCATTGTCTCCATTTTGCAAATGGGAGGGCAAAAAAGCTTGAGGAACAGGCGCCTGTGGGCCCAGGTTTGCGCTGGTGGCACAAACTTTGTTCCCGGCTCTGGGTTTTAGTGGGCTTCAATGTGGGAAATGTCTGGGAGAGATTGAGCAGGAGTCCTGAGGGCTCCAGAAAGGGCTGTAGGTGTACTCCTCTCCCGGATTTGCTCAGGCAAATTAGTTGCAAGAGCATCTGTGTCCCCAGGCTGGTTCTCAGTGTGGTGTGTACCGCTAGGGCTCCGAGGAGCAGTCCCTGCCAAGCAGGGGGGTGCAGAGCAGCACTGCAACATGTCCAGGGACACTGAGGCAGTTGTGGACTCGCAGCCTGCTCCTGTGCCCTCTGCTGCAACTGCCCCTCTCCTGTGGGAGAGGCAGTGAGAGGCAGGTGGAAGTGGGGTGATTTGTGTCTCTTTGTTATGTGCCAGGATCCAGAATATTTTTCCAGCCATTTTAGAGAGGTGCAGGTCTCTGAGCGGTGGTGCTGACAAAAGCTTGGGTGTGCTGCTGTAACATGTGCCGTTGTAAATGAGCTGACCTGCATATTCTGTTTCCTAATCCTGAGTGATACTGTCAGCTCAGAGAGCTGAGCCTGGCTAATGACTGAAATCCACTGTGCTTTTCTTAGCAAGCATGTGTGGTGATCTGAGATAGTTAAGTGCTACATCCTGAGCATCAGAACTGCACGTGCCCCATGGGTCCAGCATGTTTTAGACAGATAAACGGGGTTTGAGATGATCAGGGAGTTACTATGAAAAGAACTGATGTCAGGTGCATAGTAACCTGCAGTTAACTAGGAGGGAGATTAAATTAATGGGGTTTTCCCTCTGATAAAGATAATGAAGAGCTTGCAAGGACTTGGTTTGCAGCTCCTACACATGGTATGCGTAGGCACTGTCTTCCTGGCACAGGGAGTGCCAAACAGCTGTGTGACAAGAGCAATGCAGCCAGTGGTGCATCCCACTGAGCAACATTTGTGCTGTCTGAGACCTCGTCAGTACTCTCTGAGATGAAGGAAAATAGGGGTGAGGGGGAGGAGAAGAGGAGGAAATGGGAATAGGGACTGCAGGAAGGGGTTCAAGGTGTCGTGGGATCTGCTGCTGTACAGAACCCATTTCAAGGGAGGAGGGCATGGCATGGTGATAGAAGAGAGTCGAGGGGGGGGAATAACAGCTATGATCTCTTTTGTGGATTTAGGGTTTACTGTCAATCCTGCGTAAACTGAAAAGCGCCCCAGACCAGGAGGTGAGAATCCTCCTCTTGGGACTGGATAATGCAGGCAAGACCACACTCCTGAAACAGCTGGCATCTGAGGACATCAGCCATATCACGCCGACACAGGTGAGGAGGGCCTTTCCCTGCCCAAGGCAGTTCTTGTGGTCCCACCTGCCTTATTATACAAAGTGCTAATGATTGAGCAGAGTATTTCAGTAAAAGGGGGAGCAACCGGAGCCTGCCGCACCATTAAGTTTGTGTGTTTTCTGCATAAGAGGAGGCTCCCTGAAGGAGCCAGAGAGCGTCAGGCCAGATCTGTATGTAGTGCAAAAGTGGATGAGTGCCGTGGAGTTCTGCAGAAGGCTTTTGGGTCATGGTAGAGTTGCATGGATGAGGCTTTGTTCCTGTTGTCCTTGCCAAACAGGGGACATGTACAGGGAATGCAGCACTGGGCAAGCCCCTGTCTCCTTGCATGTTTCACCCACCCAGCTCCAAGGGTCCTGCTTATTCCAGCACTCCCTCTCTGATGCCTTTGGTCCCCTTTCTTTGAGCCTCCGGGTTGGGGAGAGGGATGTCTCCCATCTGAAGCACTGCAGCATCGCTCCTGTGTTGACCAGAGGAGGTTGCTAGAGAGCTATGGGAGATGCTTCCCCCCCACCCTGTAGCTGCCTCCCAAAGCTCTCGGCCCGACACCCCAATTCCAAGCCCCAGTCCCCTGGGTGGTGTTGCAGCACGTTGGTAGCCCACGCCACATCCTGTTTTTCTACTTGAATGCCCTTTCAATTGGTGCTCTAATTGATGAAATGGACCCTTCAGACGTGCAGCTGTTGCTTTTTTAAGCTTGGCATTAGCTGTGTCGTGTCGAATTGAGCTGAGACCTCTGGCTTCGTGTTAGCTGGGACTCTCTACTCAGCTTTCACAAGCTCAATCCTGCTTCTCACAGCGCCCTTGTTTTCTCCTTATCTGAAACTCTCCCACCTCTTCCTGCACCCACCCTGCTGAGCCCTCCTAGGGTACTAACTGCATCATATGTCTCCGTAGCCATGACAGCATCAACCCTTGACCCAAGAACACTGGCAAACTGATGGTTTGGTGGCTGTGTTTGCTTTCGCCAGTGCCCCTCCCACAGCCGATCATCTTTGTGGCTGCCCAGCCCGTCTCATTGCATGTTGCAGGCATGGGATATATAAGGTGTTAATGTCTGCCTGTGTATGTGATCCAGCCATTCAGGTTTATGCTCTATGTGGGTTTGTTTCTGCTCTTTCCAGGGTTTTAACATCAAAAGTGTACAGTCTCAAGGCTTCAAGCTAAATGTATGGGACATAGGCGGACAGAGGAAGATCAGGCCATACTGGAGGAACTATTTTGAAAACACTGATATCCTTGTGAGTATTGGCTGCAGTTGAATGCTGTGTTCATGCAATGGCTTTCCAAGGTCTCAGCCAGGAATTCGGGAACAAGTAATGTAATGTCCCAGTCCTCAGCAACACCATTGCCATTGTAACAGGAGTTATTCTGAGCAAAATGGCAAGATTGGTTGGGTGCAGTAAGAAAAATACAGTGATGTTTGGAGAAATCGTTCAGTTTACTTTCACAGGATGGTGCTGGTTATAGCCAGTTTCTTTCCTCTCATCTCAGTCTCCTTCAAATGAAAGAACATTAATAACTTGTAGTTTGCCCATCTATAGCCCCTTTCACTGGGTACTCTGGAGGCCTGTCGTGGTTATTACTGACTTAAGCCTCATGTGTAGAGGTAGGTCAATATCGTGCCTTTGTTTTCTAGTTGGGGAAACTGAGGCACACCAGAATTAAATGCTAAGTCTGGCATCAGATAGGAAAGCTTCCGGCTAAGGGGCACAGAGAGACCCCTTGTCTTTTCCTTTGTTCCTTTAATCATAAGACCGTCCTGTAATGTTTTTGACATCTTAGCTACAATTACCTTACAATTAGCTACAGATGACTACAATTATATTTACAATGCAGGGCCTTTTTGTTTCCATGCCAGAGCACGTTACCTTGGGACCTCCAAGTGCTGTCCTGACTAGTTTCAAAGAGCACCTCTAACATGCAGCCATGTGTGCCAGGAAGAAGGCAGGCCAGGGGCTCCACGCCTCTCCCCACCCCAAGCACTGTTGCCTGTGAGAGCAGAGAAAAGGCAAGGTCTGCAGGACTCCCATGGGAAAGCGGGAAGCTCTCTCGGAAAGACGCCTTTCCTCCCTCCTGTCACACACAGATACTCACTAACGTGTCAGGAGCTTCAGTACACTTCCACAAAAGGATCGGAGCAACTAGGAATAGGACCCTCTGCTCCAAGTCTCACATCAGGGTCCTGAAGAGCCTCGCTGCACCTGCAGGTTTAGAAAGCATTGTCCAAATGAAGCTGTTATTTACATGGGACTAATAAACCTTCGGTGATCTCTTGGTTTTCAGCCTTAATTTGGAATCTAATGTTTGAGGGCAGCCACCACAACATAAAGCCAGTTGGTTGCTTTTGCAAAGAGTAATGGTGAGATCTCCCTAGGGGAAAGATCTGGGTTTGAGAAACTAGCAGGACGTACTTTGCGTGCTCCTCTGTGGCCATCAGGAAGGGGGACATGGCGTGGCTGTGAGATGATTGTGCCTGTTGAGTCCAAGCTCTGCAGCTGTGTGTGGTGGAGAGGCAGTAGGTGTGCAGATCAAAGTCAGCTCTGCAAAGCAGCAGCAGGGGATCTTTGCCTGCTGTGGCAGGTGCTCAGGCTGCAGAGACTGTGCAACCACAAAACAGTATCTGGAAGACTCCGCTGGCAAAGGCAATGAGCTACGTTGGCCTGTGGGCTTCCACTCTTCCCAGTGTGTGCTGCATGGGAGGTGCAGAAATAAAGGTGAATTTGAAGACTGAAGGAGATGAAAGCAGTTGTTTTCCCTGCCCTCCTCCCTCCCCAGTTAAAACAATGTACAGAGAAAACCTCTCTTTTCATATGAGTAAGAAAATGGGTAGATAGAAGCAGAATCAGTTTAGGGAAAGCAGTGGTGTGAATTCAGAGGGAATAATTGGTGTGTGCATGGACCTGAGCTCCCCTGCCTGCACTCTGTGCTGACACCCAGACCCAGACTGGGAGCTGTTGACCTGTTAATGCAGTGCTTTGCTATGTCCATGCACACCAAAACTAGGATCAAGTATATGCTGGTGACTGGCTGTCTTCTGCCAGCCCTTACCCTCATTTTAGCCAGTAATTTTACCCTCTGACAAACCTGGTGCAGGTTGTGCACCTGTACCCTGAGCTGACTTATCCCTCATGTTATTTCTTCATCCAGTCCCACCACTTGCAATTTCTGTCCAACCCACTTACTCCAGGTTTTGTTTTGTCACGTTGCTCAAAGGAGACACCCAACTTTACAGGAATTTCTTTCTCAAGCTCCCTTTCTCCAACATGGTGTATTCAATGGCTGTTCAAACTGGCAAACTGTGCTACCAAGCACCACAGTCAGAAACACTCTTGTGTGGCCCTGGCCGTAGAAGGAAGGTGGAGATGAGATATACTACAGTTCCCAGGACCCCCTGCTTCTGTCTTCTCCTAAGCTATATTGCACAAAGCAAAAAGGACCCTCTAAAGAGTATTAAAAAGCAGGAAGTGATTGCAAATTCAAATCCATGCAGGTGCCTTTGAATGAGAGCTTGGTCTTGCATCACACACCTGTGATATTTGGAAGCTTAACCCAGGCAAATAAGGTGTGGATATCTGGCTGATTGCGTATTCAGACAGGCACCTGCAGCTATTTGGCACAGTGCTTTCTGGTTTGGAAGTAGGCACTCCGTGCGTACTTTACCTTCTCTGTGCTCTGCTTTTGTGGCTGTTGCCCTGAGCGCTGTTGTCTCTGATTCTCATCTTGCAAAATAGCTCCCTAGCAAGGAGCGGAGCAGTGCAGGAGAAAGCCTGGCTGGGATTCAGAGCTCTTCGTTGCCAGTTAGAGAAGCACTGTAGTATGGGAGGTGCCACCTTTCATTTGAGAAGTAGCACTTGACTATCGCATTCATGTGTTGCTAAGCTTCCCCCGAGGTGTCCCGAAGGACAACAGATGACAGTCCAGTTTCACCCCAGAGCCCAACTGCCAGCCCTGCAGCTTCTTCCTTTCTTTTGGTCTGTGTTTCCTACCCCAAATGGCATGCACAGGGGTGGATGCTTGGGAGGGGCAGAGAGGACAGGCGTAGCTGATACAGTATTGGTGCACCTGCTTGGGATCACATTGTGGGGAGAGGCTGTGTGTCACGCTGTGCCCACAGGCCTTTCCCCATCACGTGGCGCCGAGTGCCTGTGCTGCTGACGTGTCCCCATGCAGCTGTGTCCAGCCCTGCTGTGTGTGTCCCCCAGCCTCTGTCAGTGCGCATCAGCCCAGCCCCGGGAGGACTGCAGACCCCAAGTGATCAGCAGAGAGGTCTGCGAGGTTGCTGGGTTACCTCCTCAGGCCTGGTATACTGATTCTCCTGCTGCGTGTTTGGTCCCGTTTCAAACAACTCTAACTCTGCTCGTTAAGGGAGTGCCTACAGTTTAATAGATATTGCTGCTAGAGATCTTCCCTCCCCCTACTATTTGGTCAAAATTATCCTGGAAGCGTGGAGTCTTATGCTGAGACTGCCTGCAAGGATGCCATTTATCTTGATGGCGGGGTGCTGTGCTCATCTATTCCCTGAAAACCAGGCTGACACTTGCTCCCTGTAAGCCACCAAAGAGCATGCAGATGACATGCTAGCGGCTTCAATCACTGCTGATGGGGAGTGGCAGGGACTGGAAGCAAAATGCTCAGTGTTTGTCACCAGCTCTGTCCCTATCTGCTGTCCCAGTGCCCTTCTCCTTCAAAAAGCTTCCCATACCAAGTAATGAAAAAGGGATACCAAGCTATTCTTACCTGAGTCTTATACTGGGGTTCCTCGTTTCTTTAGATGTAGCTTGATGCTTATGTGCTCTGAACTGCAATAGCATTGCTAGGGGGAAGGAGGGTGGCTGGATTTACTAATTCCATATTTAGGAGGACCTTCCAGGAGCCTTTTAGCCTGTGAAGATGTAGAGCTGCCTTCACTGAGAAGGCTTGTTTGCATTTACAGAAAGAAGTCGACATGTGCAGCACATGCTGTGCTGCTTGGAGAGGGTGGAGACTCCCTCCCAAGGCAGGGAGCCTCTGGGCCGGGGTATCCACCCTTCTCCATACCAGGGGACAGGTGTCTGGTTGGGACCTCCCCGTGGACTGTGAGATGTAGTGCCCAGCCCTGAGAGGGTGGCAGGAATCTGCTGTCAGTCTTCCTGAGCCAGCTGCTCCCTGTCTTCTCCGTTATCCTGGTGGACAAGCTGGCAGCTGGAGATGGAGTCTCGCAGGCTGGATCCAGCCCTCCTCCCCAACCACTTACTCCAGGAGTTTGCAGCAGGATCGCCTGATGGAAAGAACTCAGTGTCTCCAATATATTCATCTGTCTCCTGAGTGTGTGCCTTGGTGGCTTATGGAGGTGATGCGTCCTGCTAGAGGGCAGCATGGCATAGTCACACCAGTGCAGTGCTCATACACTGTTGGCTAGGGTGAAAGACCAGGTCTGGCTCCCCAGGTTTTGCCCTCCTGTGCTTAGCTTCAGCCTGTAAGCCAGTCATTGGAAAAGATACCAGGCAGTCCTCCTCTTCGGATCATAGATGCTGTGGTGAAAGCATCCCTGGTACTGCCCCCAGCTCCTTTCTGATCCTACCCACGTGGCTCTCCGCCCCACCAGCTTTAAAAGAGGTGGTTCCTCTCCCTTCAGAACATCATGAAGTTTTGTCAACATTTGCTGTAAATAACACCAGGGATCTTTGTGCCCAAAAGCATTATTATTAGGCTCAGCTTCACCATGATGCTGTGGAAAAGTGTCTTCTGGGAAGAGTAACTTTTCCTCTCATTTCTTTTTCAGATCTATGTCATTGACAGTGCAGATCGGAAAGAAACGGGTCAGGTAAGTTACTTATGCCCAGCTTCCTTTGAAGTAATTCAGTGCTTCTGAGTGCCCCTTGCTCAGAAAAGTTAGGAAGATGATTTTGTTGTTTATGAGGGAAATTTGCATTTCAAGAGAGACTTGCCTTTCAACATCAATGCAGATTATTTTGGTAGATGTGAAACAATGAAAATAGGTAGCCTAATTCCGTTTAAATAGAACTGTTTTCATTAAAGTTATACAATAATAGCAAATGGGGCCCAATACTGAAAGCAAAAACTTCTCTAAGTCCTTTAAACCTTGCCAAACCAAGACCCTAAGGAATCCTATTTTCTTATTTACAAAGTTGAAATGGAAATCATATTGACTTGATTGTCTTTTGGATGTAATTGAAAAAAAAAAAAACCTAAGAACTTTGCAAGTAGGACTGGCCAGAAAATAAGATTTCCGTTTTGCGAAGTTTTGATGTTTTGTAACATTTTGTGTTTTAGGATGGAACAAAAATAGGACTTTTGTACTTTCTTTTGTAAAATTCAGGAAGCAACAGTGTCCCAAAATAGCTAGCAACAGATTTACCCCCCAGAAATGCGAGATTTAGCGCAAAGCCCTCTGTTCTGTCTTACTTGAAGGAGGCACTTGATCTTTCGCCTCTCAAGTATCACGGACACACCCTAACAGCAGAACTGTTGGTTGTTCTAGGGATGGAGAGAATCTTTCCCTTGTTGGAGCTATTTCATTTTATATCAGTAATTAAATATTCATTGGACAAAAGAGAGGAAGAGGAAGCAGAAGCTTAGAGCACTTGCCCGAGTTAGGCAGAGTCAGCCTGGACCCCTCATATTTCCAGGAACACTTTTGGTTTCAATAAATCAGCCGCGTGAGATGAAAGATCTATTTTGTTGAGAAATTCCCAGCCAACTCTGTTTATAACTCCATTCTCTCATCCTGGTTTCCAAACCAAACATTGCTTTTGGGGGGATGGAGTCAGATTTCCGCTGCAGTTTAGCATCTCCCCAACTGCACTCATTTAATCCAAAAGTTTCCAGCCAGTGGATGAAAGATATTAGAACAGTATCTGAGAGCATGAGACCTTTCCAGCCAAATAAGGAGCCCACAAAAATCTCATGACCTCATCTGTCTGCAAGGCCAGCGGTCCTTACAGGTTCTAGTTCTGCTGGATTTGTTGTATGTTCACACAGGGAAGTGACTTGAGAGCGTGTTCTTATTTCACATGAGGCCATTGCACAACCCTAGACATGAAGTATTTCAGCCATTGTTGACCCACTGTAGATTCAGATTTGAGCTATTAAAAGAATCTCTTTGAGTCACCCAGTTTTGAATGAACAAACCCATTTCTCAAGATGCCACCCAATGTGTGTTGTGCATATGGAGCCAAAATCCAGCTAGTAAAGCTGATCTAGCTTGTCTTCAGCTAGCCAATGCCTTCAAAAGCATCATCACTTTCTTGTGGGAGGGAGATTTCCATTTCTGGGGAAAAAAAAAGTCCTCCACTCAGACTGCAGTGTATAAAACTTGGAACAAAGCCCTGAAACTCATTATTAGCAAAGATATCAGGGCTGGTGTCAGCGGCTGCTCAGGTACAAATGCCAGTCAGGCAATAACTTAAGACAGATTTCACATACGGCCATTTTACATGTTTTTTGCTGTTTCATCAATTTTGGTCTCCTGGGAGCACGGACTGGTAAAACACAGTGTTGTAGCCTTTAAGGCAACTGCTAATTTCAGACCAAGATGAAGGTTTTTGTAACCTGTAATTGGAAGAAATAGCTTTTGAACCTTGGGCAGAGATGATTGTATACATTTTTGCTCTCTTATAATAAGATCTAGGTTTCACTGGAACACACTCTTCCAGCGTTTGCCCTAAATATATTTCTAATTAGAGACAACCACTGGTGGTTGAAGGTTTTCTTCCATTCCCTCTCTCCATCTTCCCCCCACCCCGCTCCCTTGTAAATGATATAGGAGCTGGCTGAGCTTTTGGACGAAGAAAAGCTTAGTGGAGTCCCCGTGCTCATATTCGCTAACAAGCAGGATTTGCTGACGGCTGCCCCTGCTTCGGAGATTGCCGAGGGACTGAACCTGCACACAATCCGGGACAGAGTCTGGCAGATCCAGTCTTGTTCAGCTCTTTCAGGAGAGGGAGTACAGGTGAGGCTCTGGAGAAGGCTTGCTGTGCCAGCCGGCCATCTGTAAGAGATTGTTGTCTGTTGATCTGCAGGGTGCGGCTGGACTGGCTGCCTCAGGAAGGAGGGTCAGCACAGCCAAACCCTTGCAGCGCAGAACGCGGGGGGCGCGTGTCTCGTGGCATGTGCAAAGGGAAGGGGGAGCTGTGGGCCCTCAGGATCTCTCCATCCCCAGGAAAGGAGAGAGCAATCGCTTCCCCACCCAGGACCCCTTGGCTGGGCCAAATGAAGGCACTGATTTATTTTAAAGAGACCGCTGTCAGGTTAATGATTTTCACAAAACAAATCGTCTTCTACTATTAACCCCTTTGACTGTTACAAGTGTGCACTTGAGAAATCTGATTTACCTTCCCTGCTAATGTCGTTTGGCGTATTGCTCAACCCAGGCGCCAGAGAGAAACCAGTCGATTTTTCTGATCCAGAGAAACTTGCGCAAGAGTTGCACAGGGGGCAAGGACCTTTTCTAATGGCAGCATGTGGGGCAGCAAAAACCCACCGAGGGGGATGAGCTGTGTTCCTGTGCTAAACTGTAATAGCTATGTCTTGGGCACCTGCGCTGTAGCCAGTTCCTGCAGGATAGTAGCTCTTTATAATGTAAATGGGACCTAGGTTTATTTCACTCTTAGGCTTTTCTGAATTAACGAAATATTTGCAGTGCTTGCAATCCGAGCAGTCAGGAGTGCTCCCCTTCACTGATATTTAAAGAAACAGAATGGTGAAGACATTTATCTTCATTGCAGTTCCAGTAAAACCTTGTTTGCAGATGCTACAGAGCTGTTTAGGATGGTCAGATCTCAAGCTGAGTATGAAGAGTCACAGAAGAAGCCCGCAACACTGAGTGGGCAGTAGAATGGCAGATGAAATTCAGTGTTGACAAGTGCAAAATAATGCATACGAGGAACAACAATCCTAACTATACACATACGATGATGGACTCAAAATTAGCTGCCAGTACTCAGAAGTAGATAGTTGGGAACAGCAGCTTAGTGCTTATCAAAGGCCAGAGAGGAAAATCAAATGCTAGAGAATTACCAGAAAGCAAACAAGAAATATCCCAGAAAACATTTCTTTTGTAGCAGAATAAAGGCGTGGTGGGCCCATACCTTGAACAGGACATTTAACTTCTGCCTCTGCACCATCTAAAAAGATTTTGATAGTAGGACAATCATGTAGTCCAACAAAAAAATAGGTTGAAGGGTCTTCAGGAGATCTTTAGACCAACTTCATGTTTAAAGCAAGGATAACTGGAGATTATCCAAGGAAGTCTAGAGGAGGTTGATGAGGGCCTTGTCCAATCAACTTATAAATACCTCCAGGCATGGAGATTCCATAGCCTTTCTAGGTAACCTCTTCTAGCACTTAACTACCCTCATCAGAAAAAATATCTGCTCAGAATTAGGAGAGATTTACAAATCCTCTATCGAGAATGATCACTAGCACAGAGTGGCATCTGTACACAGGGATAATAAATAAATTAGGACTTGCAGCTTGGAAGAGAGAAAACAGAGAGTGGGAACATCTTCAGGTTTTATAAAATAAGGTATAAAAGTGTCAGATAGACTATATGCTATTTTTCACATTGCTAGAGGAAGGGCATACCTAATGAAATAATCAGACAACAGCTTAAAAGAAATAAAAATAAGTTCTTCTTTGTGAGTTGCATAATTAAATTACAGCTCTCATTGGCATAGGATGTTGTAGCGGCCAAAAGTATCAGTCAGTTCAGTAAAATACTAAGTGAATTTCTGAAGAAGAGGTCTGCAAGCAATCACTGACCACTGAGATCTGGAGGCAGCTTTTGAATGAGGAACAGCTTGGGCCATGGACTGGGAGGGAAGAACAGAGCAAGGGACATCTCGTTCCTACATTTTCTTTCCCTTGGCATCCAGAAGGGGGATGCTGGCCTGGATGGATCATTTTACAGTAGTTCTTCAGATTTAAAGTTTTTAACCTGATGTTTACACCAAAACGAAGTCGACGGTGTCCTCCAAAGGGCCTTTATTTAGTTAACTAAGATACAAATTCAGCTATGTTGCAGCCAGTGTTGTGAAAAGCTTCAACCCTAATCTTTATTTTGAAGTGGTGGTGGTAGAAGAAAATGCAGTCCACAATGGCAGTGTATATTCAAGTCCAAAGAAATGTGATCAAGAAAGTGAGGCTGCAGTTCACAGGGTTGCATGCAGGCATAGGTCATCTTCTTCCCTCCTCCAGGCCCTCCTCTGGTTTATGGAAGTCCAAGTGAGCTCTCCAGCTGCAAAGGGACAGTAAAGTGGCAGATGAAATTCAGGGACATATGTTGGATGCGGAACAACTATGAGCTTTGAAAAATCCCTCCTTCTCGAGCTGATCTGTGGGCTCTCTGGAGTGGCCTGCACGCTTCTTCATTGATAGCGCCTTCTTACCGAGCCTTCTCCTTGAAGTGCAGTGCATCCCAGTACGTTCGATAAAGAGAAATACACAGCCCAGTACCCTCTACTGGGGAAATGAAATCTGCTTCTGCATTCACTTCCAGAAAACAGAAGACAAGCTAAATAAAAGTATTTGCAGGCCTATGTATTTTGTTCGTTGTGCTTATCTAGACAAATTAATTTAGATGCAGGCCAGATAACGTCCCGCTTTGTTGTCCGCAATCTCATTGCCCTAAATACTGCAGCTTATTCCGTAAATGATTATTGCAGAAAGGTCAGGGAAGTCTCAAACTCTCTACAGCTTATAGAAAATTTTGTTTTCTGCCATAACTCCAAGCCCTGTCAAATCAGACAGCAAGAATGCCAAGCTCTCCTTTTCCTTGGAAATTCATTGAACAAAATGGTTTGGGAGTTGGCTTTTAAACTAAAACTGGATCAGCCCAGGAAGAAACATCATCTTCAGCCCTGGGTCTCTACAGAGAGGTCAACATGCTCAAAATTCAGGGGAATCAAGGAAGAACTTGTTTATAGAGTGAGATTAAGAAAGGTCCTTCTGAGGATTGTGCTACACAATATCGCTACCAGTGGCTCAGAATGGGAGCTCTCTGTGTGTAGTTAAATCTCAGGTCACTGCTTTAAGGACTATTTTGAGAAATGACAATGAGTGACAGCAAAATAAATGAAGACGTGGAAGCATCAGGTATTCAGAATGAAAGCCAAAGAGCGAGCACGCTAACCGTCGCTGCTGATGGAATATATTAGCTAGAGTAAAATTGGAGGCATTTGCTGATGGATTTTGCAAGGAAG